TCCCAGAGCCCATTATGCAAAGCACTTTATCAGTACATCGATGCCATTATCAGGAATTAAGATAATTGGAGTAAAAATGCTTTATTTTCCTGCGCTGTCTGGGCATTTCAGCGAGTTATTGCTGTTGCTGCTTTCTTCACTGCTAATTCATCGTGACATTAAGGAGTGTAATACATCAGCTTTTCTCTAATACATGTTTCTACTTTTTTTTTTTTTTTTTTTTTTTTTTAGCATATTAATGAGCACATTTAACATATTTCTTCAGAGATAATTGGATTCCCAGGCTCCCTGTGGTAATGCACCCAAAACCAACGAGCAGCGCCTCTAATATCGAAAAGGCTTTCCTGCATTTGAATAATCCCACAATGAAAATTAGGAATTAATCTCCCGGATGAAACAAGGCTTTCCAGGATACTTTGTTTTGAGGCACTTTTAATACACGTGTTAACCATCATTCTGGAGAATCTTAATTAAACTCTTCCTTTGCGTTTCTAGCCCAGGACCCACAGAGGGGCACAGGTATTTCGGATTATCTCATCCCCTTAATCCTCCTCATGAAGGCAGGATTTGTCTGCACTCTGTTTGCTCGCAGCTTATCGAGACGGCTGTTTGAATGCAAAGCACAGAAGGCGGTTTTGAGCACATTGTTTCCTGTAGGGGCAAAGGAGCTTCTGAGTTTCTTTTCTTCTCCCAGACCTAGATCTGCTTAAGCATACGATGGTGCGTAGCTCCCGGCGCGCCGTCACTACGGTGCTACACTGAGAACGCGTAGGAATGCCTGTATCTCATTTTAAGCAAATATTTAGTGATTAGAGATAAAAAAAATAAAGCTAAGAGAGCAGGAGGAAGGCGAGATGAGATTATCCTGTGTTTTCTGAAGCACTGCCTGTGTTCTCTCTGCAACGTCGGCACCAGCAGGAATCAGCGCAGCGCGCACCGCCAGAGGGCGCGCGGTGTGCGCGTGCACAGATTTGTGCGCGTGCACAGATTTGTGCGCGTGCACAGATTTGTGCGCGTGCACAGCGGTGCACACAACGGCTGGGGGCGCGCAGGGCTTCAGCTCTGCTGCTCCTCACCTCTCCCCCGTGATGCATCCCGCTATGAGAATTTCTTGGAAAGCTTCTGAGCACAAAGAAGCTCAATCATAGAAATCGCAGAATCGTGGAATCCTTAGAGTTGGAAGGGTTTGAAGGCCGTCTATTCCAACTCCCCTGCAGTGAACAGGGACACCACAGCTAGATCAGATTGCCCAGAGCTTTATCCAGCCTTGCCTTGAAAGTCTCCAGAGAAGAGGCATCAACCACATCACTACACAACCTCTTCCAGTGCCTCACCTCCCTCACTGTAGGAGGTTTTTCCTTTTATCTAACCTAAATCTACCCTCCCTGAGCTTGAAGCCCTTGTTCTGTTGCCACAGACACTGCTAAAGAGCCTGTTGCCTTCTTTCCTGTTAGCTGCCCTTTAGATCCTGAAAGGCTGCTCTCAGATCACCTCGCAGCCTTCTCTTCTCTGGGCCAAAGAGCGCTCTCAGCCTGTCCTTACAGGAGAGGTGTTCCGTTCCATGGATCATTTTTGTGGCCCTTCTCTGGACTCTCCATGTCTCTCCTGCACTGAGGACTCCACATCTGGATGCGATACCCCAGGCTGCTCTTTGTGGCAGCACTCAGAGGCCAGGCAGGCTGTGAGCTCTTTGCTTTCCTCTCCCTGCTGTGTGTTAGGAGCTTGGAGACCCCCCCCTTCCTCTCTCCAACCAGAGCTGCTTGCTGCCCTCTCCCTGCCCAGCAGCTGGGATGGGGCTGTGCACTCCCTTTGGGCTCACTCTGTTCGGGGCTGAGGGTTTGGTGGGGATTTGAGTCACCTCCTGTGGCTGTGGTGGTAGTGAATCATCTGCGCTCACTTCAGCTGCTCCAAGTGGTGGTGATGGGGACAATTTCAGTGCCTTTCCCCGTTAGCTTCCTTGCTGCCCAGTGCTTCAGAGGGAAAGGTCGGTTCTTTTTGCTAGCTGCTTTAGAAGGAAGCCACAATGTGGGGTGATGGATTTTGGAGCATGAACCTGCTTTCTGCTGTCTGGAACAGAAGAGAGCACAGCAGCACCCAGAGCAGGCACAGAGGAAGTGATGGGGAAGGGCTGGGAGGTGGCTGTGGGATGGGATGGGGCAATGGGGATGTGTTGGGAAATGTGACCTCGTGGAACCCCATGAGGGCTGGGAGCAGAGCTGGGGTGGTGGCAGCACAGGGTGAGGAGCTGCCTCTTGTCCTGGCAGTGCTGTAGCAATACAGCCCCGGCTCACTGCTCTCCTCTGCCTCGAGCTGGGGAAACTACCAGCGTTCCTTTTGACATTGGGCTCTGATCTTCCTTCAGCCTGTCTTTCCCAAGAAGCACAGTTTTGATGCCCCCAGTTATTATATCCTAACCTATTACTTGCAAGCAAATTTTGCTCAGTGATACGGTTAAAACAAATGCTAAATTTCTACAAATCTAATGACAAAAGAAGCACAAATAATGCTGCTGCAGCAGAAGGAAGTGACCTGTTCTCCCTTGGTGGGGCTGTTGGATGTTGGAGAGGAGGAAGAAACCAGGCTCTACCAGTTCTGCCTGTGGGCTGCTGTGAACAGAGCAGTGTGTGTTTGCATGGGGATGGTGCTGGGTCTGGATGTTCCAGGAGCTTCTCTCCCTAAATTTAGAGCTGTGCTGTGCTGGAGAAGGAGCCAGCCATAGCCCATGGGCCAAAGCTGCCTGACACTGAATATGAACTGGATGAATGCTGAACTGGATCCTGAATACAAGAGGGAAAAAAGTAGGATTTTTACTCAGAGCTAACCTGGAAATATCTGAAGCCTTCTTGTTAAGTGTATATCGTGAAGAGTGTCCTGGATGCACTGATGTGAGCACTGGGCACAGGGAGGCCATGTCCCAGCCTGGCTCCTACTTACTGCCCCCATTGAGGCAGTGCTTGAGGTTCGTTTGGGCAATTAAGGATATCTGCTCTCCAGAAGGTGGCATTTTGTCTTTCCCTTCCTTTCTGTAGGCAAGAGGCAGATGACGAGCTGATATGTTAGGAATGCCACAATCACACCTCATGCTTCTCCTCCAGCTGTACCAATTACACTCCACCCTGATGTTGATGAGCTGTCACAAGGCAGGAATAATGACAGATGAGAGGAGAGCATGGCAGGGGAACATGAGAACTGCCAAAGGAATGGGGTGCTGGGGGAAGGAGGTGGTGCCCCAGTTTGTCTGAGTGAAGAAATGGTTGGGCTGGATGATTTTGGTGGTCTTTTCCAACCTTTATGATTCCATGAAACGTCCACTGAAACTAAAAAAGCAAAAAACTAAGTTAAAATTGTCATATAAAACACAAGAAACCATCAATAACTGTGGGATATGGTGTCCTTTGAAGAGCCAGAGGACGTCTTGGTGAGCACCCCATGGAGCTTTGGGAAGGGAACTGCAGCTTCCTGGAGGAAACAGCTCAAGCTCAGGCTCTGCTTTGTTGTCTTTAAGTGCTCAGAAGCAGCCAGAATGATGCCAACAAACCCTGAGCACCATGAATGGGTGTCTGAGCACCAGACGTGCTGGGATGGAGCGCTGTGCTGGCATTGCCAGATATGGGGATGGGAGGAGAAGCACAGCCAGGGTGATGCAAATGTGTAAGGAAGTTATTATTTGAGACGATGTGGGAGAGCACAACAGTTTGTGAAGGACAGCTTAGTAACAGGGTGTCAAAAGAGGGTCTTGTAGCAATAGGCTGAACCTGTCTGACTTTGCAAGAGCGTGTTGGGATTACAATAAACAGTAATCCTCTGCCTCAGTTATTTTTATGTTACTATAGGCTATCTCCACTCATGTTTGATTTATATTTTCTCTAAATCTAATACTGCAGATCTAATCTAACTTGTAAAAGAGTCACATTGCAACACAATGGGCAGTATATATAGTTCCAGGCACGAGAATCTGGTGGAGTGGCAGAATGAAATCTGTTGATTTATTTACCGAGAGGGGGAAAAAAAAAAAAAAAAAAAAAAAAAAAATAGCAAATGGATGACAGATTCAAACTGATGAGAATTTATTCCCTCCACCCACTAAGCTTTAATTCTTGCTCCAGTATAAGGGCTCGCTTCAACTCTTTGCAAACTCTTTTGCACACTAAGGTGTAGGGATGCTTTATTGGATGCACACGCGGAAGCAGAACAACCCTTGCTAACAGAAGACAGTAAAGACCCAGCCATAATCCAATAAAAATGGCTTTCATTGGCAGCTGTGTAGATGCCTGCACTGGTTCCATGCCATTTCCAGGCAGCAGTGCCCAGGCTGCATTGGTTTATCCTTCTCCCCGTGGTATTCCTATGACTCCTTTACCCACCCATGGCACAAGACTGCTGTGGATATTTAGAGAGAAAACTGCACTTCTGGGGAATGCTGTTACGAGCAGAAAACTTTTAATTATACATCCAGTTTACCCCAGACTTCACCGGACATTGTGTGGCATTGTGTGGAACTTCAGTTTCTCAGCACTATTGTTCTTCTGCTGTTCACTGCAAGTTTTTGCTCAGCCTTTGCTCTTTCCTCACCCTGGATGCCTTCTGTCATTTTATATCTCCTTAAAAGACCTTTCTGATGCTGCTAAAATCGCACCTCTGAGCTATTTTCCTCAATATTCTCATAACAATTTCAATCTAAGAGACCATTAGAAAAAGATGATAGAAAACCCACAGGCAGAATCCTAACTGAATTTAAGGCAGATTATGAAAGCAGTTATTTATATGTGGGAAGCAGAAAGGCTGAAGATGATGAAACGGGGCTTGGCGAACGCAATTAATACATGCATTGCACTTTTGCCATGATTATTGCAGCCCATATGAGGCAATAAAGAATAAGGAGCGTAATTAACCGATGATTGAAAAATATTTTTTATTTAACGCCAGGCAGTTTTCTCGCCTGTTGATACAGATGAGAGAGCAGGAACTCACCAGGGGAGCTGCTGCAAAGAGCCCTTTCTTCACTTGGTGCCACGTAGCCAGCTCTGACAGCGGGCCAGGCAACGCTCCACGATGGCAGCAGTGCGGGTGTTGAGGCGGAACGGTGCCCGTGGGCTGGAAGCACTGCCAGGGCCCTGGGTGGCTGCAGAGCTGCAGGGCTCTGGGCACACCGAGGTTTGAGCCGTGCAGGGATCCACGCATGGAAGTGGGCACTGCTCAGGATGGGAAGCGATGGCAGGCTGGGGGCAGCTGGGATCCTCTATGCAGATGGTGGGGGTGGTCTCCGTGCAGGCTTCGAGCACCTCAATGGTGCAGAGTGGTTCTGGGTGCTGTAGGGGAGGTGTTTCCACGCAGGTCCCAGTTGTCTTGAGGATGCAAAGCTCCACCGGTGTGATCCCATGCTGGCTTGGACAGGTCTCCACACCCGTCCCTGCTGCCTCAGGGGTGCAAATCTTCATTGATGAGACTGGGTGCTGCGCAGGGATGGTTTCCACACAGATCTCATCTGTCTCAGGACTGCAGGGTGACACAGCATGCTGGTGGGGGAAAGTTTCCACGCACGTCCCCACTTTCTCAGGGGCACAGGCGGCTGCTGGAGAGGTGGAGGACTGTAGCAAGATGCCGGTCTCTGCCTGGCATTGCTGCAGGTCACAGGGGTCCCCTGCTGGGCACACACAGGTGGTGACACATTGGGATGTGCAGGGGTCGCAGATGTCCTCAGGTGCAGGGACAGTGGGAGGCGGGCAGGTAGGGCTACAGACATCAGGGCAGGAGGGCACAGCTTGGCACAGGTCCACCCCAAGAGTCTGCTCGGGACAGGGACATGCATTCTGCTCAGAGCAGGTATCAGGGTGTGCAGCGATACTGCATGATGTGCAGAGGTCAGTGGGCACAGCAGTCCCCACACAGGAAGGAGGTGGCAGGCAGGACTGCTCGCATGGCTCCGACATCTTCCTTCCTGGAGGAAATAACTCAATGTCTACCAACCCAATGCTTCCAAACAGTTGTTTTCCTTACTGCTAGGCTCCCCTAGGAAGGTTTGTGCTGACTGTGTTGTAATTCGGGGATGAGGGAAAACTCAGTAGAGGGGAAATCAGATGTTTGCTATTTCGAAGTCTACAGGCATTCCTTACCAAAAGAAGCTTGGTTATGCTGTATTTCTGCACGGACACCCAAACCCAAGTTCTATATTTAAAGTCAGAGTTCAGCCAAATAATTTAACTTCAGCAGCCCTTCCTTGTGCAGATAAGGATGGATTTAATTAACACTCGTAGCAGAGCTTTGTGCTTTTCTCTATCCCTCTCTTTTTCAGATGCTTTCTCCTCACCCTGTAACACCCTTGCAGAACACCCGACTCATGCAGCCCTCTCCATCCCACCTTTCTCATTGCTGAAGGCAGCAAGAGGCTCAACAAGATGGAGCCAGGAGTCGCTGGCATGGAGCTCAGGGCTCTTACCTGGGACCTCAGCTGCTGCCGTGTGCGATGCTGTGCTCTCTTTGCCCTTCCACAACAGCTGTGTAGCTTCTGCCTCTAAATCCAGTGCTGGAATACCAGGAAGCATTTCACAGAGCATCCGTGGGAATTACAGCAAAATGCAAAGGGAGAAAATGATTACTCTTATCACCAGCGAGATGGAAGAACTAACAAGCAATTCCTCATCATGCAGATGGTAGCAGCAGTCATCTGTCTCAGGGGAAGCCTTACACCCTAGCTGTGTAAAGCCTAAGGATACTCACCTGGCTCGATATCAACGCATGGAGATGGCGAGCAGACCCAACAGCCTCAGCCTGGGATCTGCTGTGTGCACACAGGAGCCTGGCCTCTGGAGACAGGTGCCCCAGGCACACAGACAAGCAGCCCTTCCTAGCACGGCCCTGCTCCGCCTCTGCCCTCTGATGGATTATTTGACTAATTATTTTTAATGGAAACCGGCTATTTCCGTGGCTGCAGCATAACCTCGAGTGATCCAAGATGGCTTGTGAATTCACGTGGCCTTCCAGCGGGGCTGACGTCAGGGAAGAATTTGGGAAATGAATGGATTCTTGTCTCGCTGGCAAATAGCCGGCCGGTCACAGCTCGGTTTTTCCTCCAGCCCAACACATCATCACTGGCCACTAAGTGCTGGATGGGATGTGGGATATGGGGGATTCTTTGCTTTTTAGCCACGGTTGACCTGCTTCTGTCCCTGCCCGTGTCCTTTTTGGATGTTGTGCTACTGGCTGTATGCTCCTGACATGCTCATGGAAACTCTTGTATCATTACCGGTCTCGTGATATTTTGCATCTTCTCCTGGAGCTCCAACTTGAATGACAAAGTACTGTTCCACCACCTAGACATTGCCTTTACCCTTGTGTAGGTGCACACCTGAAGAGCAGAAGGTTGGCAGGAGTACTGACCACCACCATCCCCATTCAGCCCATTGGTTTACCAAAGTCAGTTCAATTATGCCAGTTCAAACCACTGTGGTCGGCAGAACACTGACAACCCAAGTGGTCACGCATCCTGATTTGATTTCAATTTCAGTAACCGAAAGTCACTGCATGGGGCATCACCATGCTCAGCAGTGTGAGCACACACTTAAAGCGAGGGCAGAGCGCAGACACAAGAGCACTCCTTTGTCTCCAGATGATATATGGCCATGTCTCTGCCTGCAAGTAATACTGGTTCCATGCCTGTGTCACAAGTGACTTAAGGCCAATTCAGAGCCAGCACAGAAGAAATTCTCAGTCTTTGATCTCTTGGAAGCACTTCACTCGTTGGCTCTCCATTCTCGTTTATAACCAGGGGATTTCCAAGGAGAACATATTTCCTCCACTTCAACTGTGGCAGGCAGAACAACAGCCACATTGCGTTGCTGCAGTGCCACACAGCGTGCTATCCTTTATGAAGGGTGCGTCTTGGTCTTGGCTTGGCCTCTGCACCATAGATATGGGCACAACAAACCCCAAATGGGCACTATTGTGGTCAGGGCACCAAAGGCAGGAGGTGGGTCATCACCCTACAGCGTCACTGCAGAGGGATGGGCTCGGCAGGAGGTGTCCTACAAGGAACCCAAGTGACATTAAAAGCCTTAGCACAGCGTGAAGTCTTCCCTGGCTGCCTTACTGCCACAATGCAACATGTTCAAGTCTGGCTGGAGTGCTGCCTTTGGTTGAGGAGCACACGAAGCGGCCCATGGGAGACTCCAGTTTCTGGTAGAAGAAAAATTGTGTAGAAGCAAGAGCATGGAATCTTGCACAGGACAGTGATATCCTACCTGTAGCCCTGGCCTGTATGGGTGTCACGATGGAAGGTGCGAGAACACATACCAAAGTAATATTTATCCAAATATGAGTTTAATCCCAAAGGGGATTGTTTCCAGGCTGTATCACCAATGGTTTGTTCCCTAACTCCCGTACATAATACGTGGATCAGGAATTCAGCCTTGCAGGCAGCTGTCATCGTGTCGCATGTACCACCTCAGTGGCTAGGTTTCATTAAAAATTATAATGTAAGCACGTAATTTTAGGATTGGAGGTGGAGCAGGTCTGGATTATTAAAAAATTGTATTTCCATACCCCTGAGGTGTCTCACTTCCGGAGACACGGACATTGAAATCGTATAAAAGGGTTCATATTGTAGTGTTTCCCAAGCCATTTTGGTTTCGTTTGCTTGTTCCTGGTGGTGAATTGGGTAAGTCTCTCTCGGCTTACTGGGATGTAGTGTAAAGGCTGGGGAGATTGGATTTTTGGATGGTACCCGCAGAAGCAAGTTAGAAGACTTAGATGTTACAAGTGCTTCTGCTTAGTAAGATTTGTATGCAGCACTTATCAAGCAGCTAAGCTAAGGGTAAATATCCATTTCACCTTCTTCCAGCTTCTGTTTGCTGTGTGTTTTGCAATTGCTGTGTTTTCTCCATTGGGGTGTATCTCAGGGCAGCTGAGAGTGGACCAACCTTCCCCTTTCCCAGGCACACTGCTGCCCTGTATTAACCAGGAAATTATTGGGTTTGAGAGGGATCAAAAGGCAAGGCAAGGACTTCAAAGGCACAAAAGTGGGAGGGAAGATAAGAAGTGGAGCCTCGCAGGCTGCGGGGTAAGCCATGCCTGGAAGGGAGTCTGGATGAGAGGAGCTGAGGACTTCTGTGGGCAGGTGGAGGCTGTTGTGCCTTCTGCCCATACAATAGAATCTGGCAAAGTTTGCTTAACACCATTTTTCACTCCTGTTTTGAGAAGCAGTTTGAGATGTACGTGCAGTGAGCAGCTGCAGCCATACCTGAGATGCTTCCATGTGGAGCTAGTGCCCTGCTGTGATTTCAGTGCGCTTTCCCAACACGTTGCTCAGTATTCCAAGGGAAAAAGTATAGGGTACCTCACTGCATAAAAAAGCCTTGTGAAAGATGAGTGCCTCTGTTTTCCACACAGGGTATTCCTCTCCTTCTTTCAGACTTTCCTCCTCCTTCAACCATGCTTTGCCAGACCGACTGCCAGCGCAGACAGCCCTGCCTCCCACCTCATGTCGTCCTGGTGAGGAATTTGCCTGTCAGTAGGAGCGTGGATCCCTGCAGCTCCGTCCGCAGCATCTCATGCCTGAACACATGTGCAGATCCCTGCTACTATGCCAGGGTTCCTCAGGGCACCACCACCTATCTGAAGCTTGGTAGCTGTGACTTGAGGCAGATTGCCTTGGATCCCTGCTGCCTTGGGATCACCACACGCGTGGATCCCTGCTGTCAGGATGTGACCAGGTGCAGCAGCACCAGGTGTGTGGATCCCTGCTGCTACAAAGTGACCGAGAGCAGCAGCACCAGGTATGTGGATCCCTGCTGTCAGGATGCTACCCAGTGCACCACCAGGTGTGTGGATCCCTGCCGCCAGGATGCTACCCAGTGCACTACCACATGTGTGGATCCCTGCCGTCAGGATGCAACCCAGTGCACTACAAGATGCGTGGATCCCTGCTGCCAGGATGCAACCCAGTGCACTACAAGATGCGTGGATCCCTACTGTGAGGAAGTGACCAGGTGCACCACCAGGTGTGTGGATCCCTGCCGCCAGGATGCAACCCAGTGCAC